TTACCACTCGGGATACTTTTGAGTGCTTCAACTTCTCGTAGTGAATAGGGAAGAGGATTTGAATTCCCAGTATTCTGGTAAATATGTTGGTGCGTCGTTTGGTTTTAAGGACAAGCATTCTTTCCAGTGAAATCTTTTTGATTGTGGGGAGGAGAGGGGGGAGGGGGGAGTGACCTCCGTTTTACTGAGGCACTAGGTTTCTTTGGCGTCTGTAGCACAATAACAATCGGAAGTGCCACTCAGTCCGTTTTTATGCTTTAGCTTTCTTTAGGGTTGCGCGACGCCGTATCAATCAGACAATCAATTATGCAAGTTCGTTAAAAAACTCCAATTCAACGAGCCATTTGCGAGAATCCTGCGGACACGAGAGCGAGTTCGATCGTTCCGATGTAAGCGTCCAGCAGCATTTGTTTAATCTCAACTTTGTATGACGGAAAAGGTAGAGTTGCAGTGATATTTTTATCGCAACTACAGCAGCGTCCGATGATATGCACAACAGGGATTGCCTCACACGCAACATGCTTTTCCCGCACTGAGCAAAAGAACTGAAATCAAAATTGCTCTGGTTATTTGACTGTTAGAAAGTGAACTTTTACATCAAAAAATGAAGATCTAGCGCTAGTGCAGCAACTGCCTTACGTAGCAGCACATGACAGGCCAGTGATTGACACACCTACCTATGCAGTGTCCTATAAGAAAAGAAAATACGTTTAGAACTGTAGTCGCAGCTCGTATTTGGACCTACAATATAGGTTATCGGATTGTGTGCTGATTTCTGGTCACTCGCTCCTCTTGCTCAGCCCAGTTTTCCTTTTTTCTGAAATTATACAGCCAATCAACATTTGGATCTGGGTGAAAAGTTACGAACCAGTGAATTTTAAGATGTTTTAGGCTTTTATCTCGAGTTGTTGTTGTGAATCCACACTCTCAGTGTTCTATGCTCGAAATTTTATTCATTCTCGTCATACAAATTCAAATTTAGACGCAGCTCAAGACAGCACTGAACCCAAAATTTTCTTCAAGATTTATGGTTTCGTACATTGGCTTAGACTATGTCCAGATTTTCAGCTTTCCTGTCTTGAATTGAATTTTACGGGCATCAAGACACGTGAGCAAGCGCTGGTGCATTTTTGCATAACTCAGTTATGCAATTGCACGAAAATCCAAGCATCTAAAAAAAACTTGTGAATTGTTGAATGCTTTAGGAAGACTCACGCCATACAATTGCGGATGATGATGATGATTGGGCAACTAGCCGAAAGTCACGAAAGCCGCGGAAGCCAAAGTTAAGAAGCAGAACAAAAACAGAGTTTTGCTGAGCTTGCGGCTTTTCAAAGACCGTAACTGTTACCCGGTCCCGGTGTAATTGTTAGAAACACTTCCTAGGCTGGCCACCATCGATATGATACGTACATCTCACTCTCTTCAGCGGAATTCAGAAAGGTTTAAGCCAATGCATGCCACTGACCGGTTCAACTGAGTGGCCCCGCCTGGTCAAACATGAAGTCACATGAGGCCCTGTCCTTTTAGGGCTGGAAATGAGCTGTTTTAGTGTAAACTTACTCTCTGCAGCATTGCTTCCTAGCAGGTTGGTCGAATGAAGAAATTGTTAGCAAAAGAGCTGCTGAGTGTTTTTTAGACCGAAAAAGGGAAGGGGATCGTTCGAGCATTTCGCATCATAATGCGTCTCTTAGCTTAAAACGGGAGACTAATCCGGACAAGCACCTTTATGCGGGTTGAGCCTTTTTTTGCGGGTTCTTTCGCACCACCCCGGATGATCCTGTGAGTAGGATATGTCGGAAGAATCGCAACATGCTGACTGCTAGGAACGCTTGAGCGATTTAGTATAGTGAAGCAGTAGTTCTCCCGTCGGGTTCGTGGAAAACCTCCCGGTGAAAGTTACTTTTGAAAAACTTATTAAGCCCACGTGCTGACGCTTGTATGGTATTCTTCTTAAAAGCATTGACATCTTTTTAATTCATTCTGCTCTGCTCGTTACGCCATAGACTCTACATATTTCGATGTCCTCTATATTTTCTCGTTTGTTAGCAGCTGCATCGATGTGGATCAGGGACGTAACGATGGAGTAGCAGTTGTTCAGTGTATATAAATAAGTAAAGAAGCAGCAAGTACCTTCACACAAAACGCATCCGTCATTTGTTGTTTCATCTGTCTACGTGACTCTTTCGAACTCGCCAGGTTATCCGGGTTCTTTGTAAACCAGCTTTTTATCTATTTCTTTTTTCGCTGTGAGTAGTTTTCGTCTCACAGATTCATAATATGTAGAAATGGGAAGTGCTCACAGAGTGCGTGAGTTAGTTTTTTTTTTTTTTTTTTTTTTTTT